CTGCCGCCGCCCGCTGCCCCCAGCTGCCTCTAATCTTCCCCACGCCCGGGGCCTCACGCCATGTGGCCGGCAGAGGTGGTGGCGGAAGGAAGGGGAGGATGGGCAATTACATAACATCCATAAAGCTGGCAGCACGGGTCCTGGCACACAGTGAGAGCTCTGGAAATCTTAGCTATCCGTGCCGTTCTTATTTTTATGTAATGGGAATATAAACAAAACTGAATGCAGAACACGCGTCTGTGCAAAATCAGGCACCTCATACCTAAGGAGAGAAGAGGTGAAACAGAATTTTCACAAGAATTAGATGTTAATAATGAACTCTTTCTCGACAGCACGAGGAATGCAAGTAAAACTCTAAGGCAGGAAGCATGAAGGTCGCCAATAATGAAGATCAAAAAAGACTTTACACAAAATTCATAAGAGCCAAAGGGATCATGCTTTGCAAGCACTTATCAGTAACTGACACTGGCAAAGTGATCATTCTTTTCGAGCCAAGTTCATTTAGGTGTTCCCAGCCTGACATATGGAATAAATATCTGACGAATGCATACAGAAACAAAAGAAGTATGTTTCCTTTTAAGTACAATTAAGGGATGTATTGGACAACGTTGATTAGATCCAAGGGATGCCTTAGCCTCCGAAAAGCGGGAAGCACACAGAATGGCTTCTCCTCTGTGGGGGAGCTCTGTGTAACCACGTGTGGGAAGGACGGTGCTTCGCACGCCATTCCCAGAAGCCAGGCGACCGCTCGAACTGCAGGAATAAGCGGCTCGTTATTCCACGGGGGACCACTCCAGGCGTCTTGGCTGCTCACTGTCTCGCTTCTGGAGCTGAGTACATGGCTTTGTGTCAACTGTTTTTGTGGGGTCCACAGCTCTGCCTGAGGTGTCAGGACCCCTTTCCAGGCATCACATGTTGCCTTCCCACGAGCCATGTCTGGGAGTGCACGCTCCCCCTCGGCCTCTCCACCAGAGATGATGGCAAACTTCTGGATTCTTGCCAATCTAATAGGTAAGAAATTCTATCTCTGTCGAGTTTTAATTAACACTTATTATGTGTGAGGCTGATCATGTTTTCAGATATTCAAGGTCATTTGCATTTCTTTTTCTATGAACCCTTCTTATCTCTTGCTCATTTTCCTATTGGGCTATTGATCTTTTGCATTATTTTTAGAAGCCTTTTATAATGTAAGGATAGTCATCCTTTTTCTATGCTATGACTGAAAATACTTTAGTCATTTGTCTCTAGGAGTTCTTCCTCATAAGACTTAAAAAATTTTTTTTTCCCAGTAGTTAATTTTTTTTCCCCAGTCTTTTCCCTTATTGAATCTGAATTTTGAGTTATAGATAGAAAAGTTCTCCCCACTCTCAACTTATAAATGAATTCATTTACGTTTTCTTTTTTCTTTTTCTTTTTTGTAAAATATCACTGTTTGGACATTTAAATCTGTTCTTTTTGCTCTAGGTGCTCTCTTTATATATAAGCTATCGATTATGGTATATTGATGTTCTACTCTACTTATTATGTGTAGGGGTTTTTCATTCATTCTTTTGGACCTTCCAAAAATGTAATCACGCCACCTGCAGACACAGATGCTTTATTTCTTCTCTTCTGAATCATATGTCTCTATTTATTTTGCCTTGTCCAACACACTAGCTGATGCCTCCTCCGTGACATTCAAGAGCAGTGTCCCAGGGGTCCTAGCTCTGTTCCTGACTTCAGTGAGAAACCCACTAGTGTTTCCCCATGAAGTATGACACTGGCTTTGGGCCAAGACACCTATATTTTTGTTTTCACCATAAAGACATATTCATCAAACTCTATTGCTGCTTTTAATCAATGGATTTTGAATTTCATCAAATGCCTTTTTTGCATCTATGAAGATGATCACCTCATTTTCCTCCCTAGTATATTATTGTGATGGATGATGTTAACGTGTCCTTTATTCCTACTGAACCACCCTTTCCTTGCATTCTGGAATAATCCGCGCATTGTCACGATGTATTATTTTTGCACGTACTGTTGGATTTGTTTCAAAGCCCTCATCCTTAACCACCGGATGCCCTGATGGCTCAGATCGTCCTCAGGTAAGTGGTTCTCAGCTGGGGGTGATTTCGGCTCCTAGAGGACACTGGCAATGTCTGTGTTATTTCTGGTTTTCACAACTGGGGACACTATCTGGTAGGCAGGGGTCAATGATGCTACTAAACTCCCTAAAATGCAAAGGACAGTCCTCTCCAGGAAGGATTCCTCCAGGCCACAATTCCGGCAGTGCTGAGCCTGAGACGCCCTAGCCTGGGCAAACCGCGGCTAGTCCACAGGAGCAATCCCCCTGCATCTGAGAGACGGCTACCGGCTCTCACAGCGCATGTGTGCGTTCGGCTAGGCGACTGGCCCCCGCACCTGCGGGAAGAACCGAGATGGCAGGTGGGAGCACGTGCCTTCGGTGGGGGGAGAGTCGGGCCCTGAACGGAGAACGGGGCCCTTCCCTGTGCTGCGGGCGAGGACTGTCGACCTGCTCCTTGCCTTGCGTGCTTCTTTCAGAGTCGGTATCTGAAACTCCAGATTTGTGAATAACAAGTGAAAATGTCAGTGAGACCAGTGCGGACACTCACGAGACGACTCAGAGTAAGAGATGACTCGCCTGGCGCAGCCCTCGCCCACTCACACCCTCGGACCTGAGACGTGCTTTGAAAAGCGTTTCCAGGTTCCCCGCCAGAAACCCCAGTGCTCTGAGGACCAGAGCCGGCCCCTGGGCTCGTCTGGTCTGCATCTGTATTTAGAAATGTCAAGGTCAGTGCCTTACTCTACACAGTTACCTCCCACTTGGGCTCGCCTTCGTTTTCCACCAACTTCAGGCCATGCTTGTTCTTCAAGTGCCTGTTGAACTCCCATTTGGTGCCATATACGAAGCTGCAGACAGGGCACTTCAGACCGCCTGAAAGCACAGAGGTGAAGAGAAGCATTTGTAGCAACGTTTCTGCTTCCCATTCAAAGGCCTCAAATTGAAGGACTGAAAA